AACCCTTGTTTGATAGGAAATCTGCTAAAATATTTCAAACAAGTGCTATCCAGCTTCTTAGAAAACCTCCAGCGAACATGCATCTGGCTACTCTTGCGTTTCTTCCTTTATCTCCAGTATTCTTGGCCTCATTACATTCAGGATGTTCAGTATTCTTGGCCTCATTACATTCAGGATGTTCGCCACTCTTTTGCTTTTTCACTAGTTTAATGCAGTTCCAGTGAGTGTCAGATGTAACCACATGAATAAAGTCATTAATGTGGGTAATACAGTCTGTGTTTGAGGACGAGCACCATCTGCAAGGCCAGTGATTTACTTCCAGGATCCTGTTCTCCTTTATGCTATGGAAAGATTGAAGAAAACACTAATTGTTCTCGACCATAGTCTTTGGAATTCCATTCAAAATTTTCTTTGGCATCACACAATCCCCATGTGTGATTAAAAGACATAGTTATCAGACTGTCTATCAATCCTGGATACAAGTGTCTGAAAGACATTTCACTTCCGATGATATCATATCAAGTCTGCACATTACAGCTTTGGTTCCTGTCAGTAGGAAATTGCACACTATCACAACAAACTCTTTCTATGATCTTGAAGACACTGATCAAAATAGTTTTCATTTGTGGCACTCCTGTAAATAAGAAGAACCTTTTGTTATTTGAACCGGTCAGCAAATTTAAGAAAACACCTATTTGCAAAATAATTGTCCTGGGTCAATAACAAGATACTCAATTTTTTTCTTGTGTAGGAAAAAGCTGTAGATCCTAAAACTCGTCTGCTTCTGTACAAGATGGTCAATTCTGGATTGCTTGATACCATCACTGGATGCATAAGTACAGGAAAAGAGTCTGTGGTGTTCCATGCATATGGAGGAAGGTATATTGTGATTTTGATAATCTCTAAAAATAAAAATTATTTTAGAGCAGTGTAGTATTTCAAATAATAAATGCAATGGAATTGCCTTGCATCTTCCTTGCTCCCAGTCCTTTGTGTAGTGATTGAGAAAGACATATTATGACATGAAACGTTAACATAAATTCCTTATTTATATCGTTAAATTTAAGTTCCAAAGGTGCTTTTTCAAGAGGCAACTGAACTTTCTGGTTTTTCTTTGAAGATGTTTTGCTTCTCATCCAAGAAGTTTTTCTTCAAAGTTTTTCTTCAAAGAAAAACCCAGAAAGTCCAGTTGCCTCTTGAAAAAGCACCTTTGGGACAATATATGACCTGGATGACTGAGAATCTCCATAGACTTTAAATTTAAGATACCTGTAAAAGTAGCATACAATAATGTGGCAGGTATCACATATTTCAAAGATATGCGATAGTACAATATTTATATATTTGAATAATACAAATATTGCATTCATCTGTCTTTCGATTTGCAGCTTTTAAAAAATGAGTTTGTATGACATATGTCTAAACTCAGTGCTTTGTTTTTTCTAAAGTTTGGATGAAGAAATCAAATCAGTTCCTCCAGAATGTGCTATAAAAGTATTTAAAACTACTCTTAATGAATTTAAGAATCGTGAAAAGTATATCAAGGATGACTACAGATTTAGAGAACGTTTCAGCAAACTGAATCCACGAAAAATTATCCGCATGTGGGCTGAAAAAGAAATGCACAATTTGACAAGGTACAGAAATGGCTATACCTATATAAATATGATGTAGGAATTTTTCATTCACACATTGTTTGGGAATATATGATTTAATACTTGATTGATTTTAGTGTTGTGTCAAATGTTAATTCTATAATACTATGACAGTAATAATTTTAATTCTACTAATATATTTTGGAATTCAGAGATGGTTAGCATTTATGAAACCTAACTGATTATAGCCCATCAATCAATAAGTATCAAAGGGTTTTTAAAATATGAGTTGCTTTTACAACCTGTACTAATTCCTGAATAAAATTAATTACCACAGGGTTTTTCAAATAACATCTCCCCCCCCCCCCCCCCCCCCCCAGGCCAGGAATTTGGCTGCAATTGTTTTGCCTGTACAATTCATATCAGGCTTGCATAGGTGAAATGGGGGTCCTGTTGAAACTCACTCTTGGATTTGCTCCCCACTTTGTCTGAGCAAGCCAGTTGCAGGTTGCTTAGAGCAGATTTTGACAGTGCCTGCACAAATTGTATTAGCTATTCCATTTCCTCTTGTTTAAATTGCCCTTGACCTCTTGGGGAGTTGGAACTCTCAATTTGAGAAACCCTGAATTATGTTAAAGATAATGGACTTCATAATTAGACATTCATCAACATACTAATGTTGTTTTTCTTCTTGATAGAATGCAGAAGGCAGGCATTCGTTGCCCACAAGTCGTTAGCCTTAAAAAGCATGTCTTAGTCATGTCTTTCATTGGTCAAGATCAAGTCCCAGCTCCTAAATTAAAAGAAGTAAAACTCAGCAGTGAAGATATGAAAAATGCCTACTATCAAGTTCTTCATGTAAGATCACTGTTTTATGAAAATAGATCCAGTGTTACGGAAGCAAGCTTCTGCTTGCAGAGTGATATTTTCTTCCTTTTCTTCCATTTTATACCTCATTGCATGTGCAACCAAATTCATTTCTGAGAATCTTCTTAACACGGGGGGGGGGGGGGGGGGGGTGGTATTTGATGGGAGAGGCAGAATCCATTGTATCAGAGGCGGAATCCATTGAATCTTTGGCTTATTGATGAATATCCCATGTTACAATGTCTTGTCTCAATTACAAAAAGTTCTGACTGAGATATGCTACATTAATGATGAATAATAGGCACAGATGCAGAATTTGAGATAAAGGAAGTACTCGGTGAACTAGGATAATGAAAAGCATTCAAATGGGAAGAACTCCATTTTGCCACATGGGGGCAATATTGTCCACTGAAGGAGCTACTTAAAAAGGTTTCATTGGTTGTGTGTTGTACATGAACAGACAGACAGCAGGTGTTCTAGGAATGTTGGCAAAAATGGTTTTGCACAAACCTGCAGAGATAATCTGGAAAATCTTTCCAAGCAGCTACATACCAGACTTTCCAGAGGATGTAGCAGACCATTCCCAAGGCCACAGTACTTTCTGGAGATGTTAAGAGGCCTTGGGAAGGGTCTGCAGCTACCTCTACTGGACATACTTTGTCAGCAAAGGGACAAGAAGCAAAGGTCAGTAGGGTGGGGGTGGCAAAGGCAGTGGAGTGGAAGGCCTGAAATGTTGTAAAGGGCCATCAGATGCTTTGACTGAGCACACTTCATCAACATGGGTGAAAGAAGAGTCAGCTGGAGGTGGTAGAGGTGCAAATTGGGGTGCAGAGTAGCAAGGGTGATAGAGTGCAAGGCAGCCAAAAAGGAAGTGGTTAGGGTGGAGGGAATATGTGGGGAGAGTTGAAGCACACATTGCAGTCATAAATACAGGTGGGCTGTCAAGCTGGAAATTTTGATTATATGAACCTGGGGGTGCTTCAGTAATAATTTTAAGGACTGGTGGTATTGTAAGTAGCATTTGTTTAGCACTGTCGTAACTTTGAATGGTCACTGAATGAATGGTTGTTAAACAAGGACTACCTGTACTAAAGCATTTCTTAGAAAGCTCTCTACAGTTCTAGGGCAATCTATGAAATTAAAAATAAGTGATAAAGCTCAGTAGCATTGAATGGAAAATAAAGCAGCCTTTCCCGATACAATGCTTTTCCAATCACAGATCAGAGAAGGTTGATACAGATCATGGAACCACTGAACTTTGAAGGCACTGGTTATGAGAATCTGTTTAGAATTACAGATGGTCTAGCTAGTAGGAACTGGCTTTTGGAGAAAATGAGTAGGGTGCTTTTAAATATACCTGTCGGAAATACAGAGTTAAACTAATTCCACGTCAGGTAAGATTGACTGAGTCAGTGTCAACTCTTAGCAACCGCATAGGTTTTTCGAAGATGATATAATTGGGATGAATATTCTGAGCAGTATTATTTAGCTATATTTTCTTTTTGAAAAATAGTTACCAGTATCTTCAAAATTCTTTCATACCCACATTTCTCCTTAGAATTACCAGTAGTCCTTGCCTTAACACCTCAATGGAGCCCAAAATTTCCATTGCTAAACAAGACAGTTTTAAGTGAGTTTTGCCCCATTTTAGGATCTTTTTTTGGCACAGTTGTTAAGTGAATCACTGTGTCAGCATTCTGATGCTGCCATAAAAAGATGAGGCTTGACTTTTTACCTACTTATTTTCTCTGTAGATAATATCCCCTAGGAGATGAGATGGGAGGGGGGAACATTCCTGTGGGGTGAGGTCAGAAGCTGGGGAGACTGACTTGGAAGATGGCCAATGAGAAGATGAGAATTGGGGAACGGAAAGGGAAGGGTTTAGGGGTCAGAGGGTTAGTATCAGCTACGACGAAGTCGGGGCCAGATCTGTCGTACTCAATAAATGGAATATTTCAGCAAAGATTGTTTGGGAGTGCAATTTATTTGAGATGACATCAAAACCTGACACACTGCAGTTATTAAGTTAGTAACATGATTGACTTGGCTTGTCAGAAGGTTGTAAAGGGTGATCCCATGATTCCAGGACACTGCAACCATTATACATACATGTTATTTCAACTTTCAAATTTGATCACATGACCATGGTCATAAGTGTGAAAAACTGTCAAGTCACTTTTTTCAGTGCATTGTAACTTTGGTCATGAAATGAATGGTTGTAGGTCAAGGACTACCTGTATCTGTTATGTCATATCTTTTATGACATGTACTGTGTTGCACTGTACTGTATTATACTATCCTGAGTTATAATGTAATGTACTATATTTGATTTCTAAAGCCACCCATCTCAACAAGTAACTCTGGATGTTATACATCATAGAAGATAAAAGCAAATTTAAATAATTAAAACAAAATAAATATATATAGCATTAAGTAGAACTGTAAAAATGGATGTTAATACAGCCAAGAAACAGGATTGTTTCTTGGCTGTATTGAAGACAAAGAGAGAGAGATGAAACAGACAGACAGATATAGATAAATAGATCATTGAAATTTTTATTTGTGTTATATTCCAAAAATATTACTTGCTGTTTTCTTCCAGATGATGCAACAGTTATATAAGGAGTGTAATTTAGTTCATGCTGACCTGAGTGAGTACAACATGCTGTGGCATAGAGGACAGGTAAGCTAATTTTAAATGGAAGATGATAATTTGAAATAGCCTTATTTGTATTTTTCTTAGCATATTCAAGCTGTATTTTTTTTTGAAGGTCTGGTTAATTGATGTCAGTCAATCTGTGGATCCAAGACATCCTCATGCACTTCAATTCCTGTTCAGAGATTGTAGGAATGTTTCACAAGTAAGATTTCTGCCTATCTCAGTCTTCAGTAAATGGACCTGTAGAATTGCATTAGAATAGTTAGTGTATTAAACAAGTTTTCTCAGCAAAAATACTGAGTTGTTATATGCAAAAGCTTCAGAACCCCGGATCAAATTGTACATTTCAGTGAATCCCTCACTGTACAAATAGACACAACGGCTGTGTATATATAATTAAGCACAAGATCTTTCTGAAAATTCAAATCCATACTTATTTTTTTGTTTAAGAATTTAAGAGTTTATTCGTTTTCTATACCGCCCTTCTCCCGAAGGACTCAGGGCGGTGTACAGCCATATTAAAATACATAGATTTATAAAATTTAAAACCAATTAAAATCAATATATAAAATTGGCCCGCAAGTTAAAACATACACACACCCATAATAAAAAATCGTATTAGGCCAGTCCGGCTTGCTGGAATAGGAGGGTCTCAAGTGCGCGGCGAGAAGTACGCAGGTCGGGCTAAGACGGAGCTCTAGGGGCAACTCATTCCAGAGGGCTGGTGCCCCCACAGAGAAGGCTCTCCCCCTGGGTGTCGCCAGTCGGCATTGTTTGGCCAACGGCACCCTGAGGAGTCCCTCTCTGTGGGAGCGTATTGGCCGGTGGGAGGTTGTTGATGGCAGAAGGCGGTCCGTAGATACCCCAGTCCTAAGCCATGGAGCGCTTTAAAGGTGGTAACCAACACCTTGAATCGCACCCAGAAGACCACCGGGAGCCAGTGCAGCTCGTGCAGGAGGGGTGTTATGTGGGTGCGCCGAGTTGCACCCAAAACCACCTGCGCGGCCGCATTCTGGACCAGTTGGAGCCTTCGAGTGCTCTTCAAGGGGAGCCCCATGTAGAGAGCGTTGCAGTAGTCCAGACGGGACGTCACGAGGGCATGAGTGACCGTGCGCAAGGCATCCCGGTCCAGAAAGGTGGTGCATCAGGCGAACCCGATAGAAAGCTCCCCTGGCCATGGCCGTCGTATGATATTCCAAAGACAGCCGTGCATCCAGGGGAACACCCAAGTTGTGAGCCCACTCTGTGGGGGCCAGGATCTCACCCCCAATAGTCAGCGATGGAGCCAGCTGACTATACCGGGACACTGGAAGCCACAGCCACTCGGTCTTGGAAGGGTTGAGCTTGAGCTTGTTTCTCCCCATCCAGATCCGCACGGCCTCCAGGCACTGGGACATCACGTCAGGGGCATCATTGGGGTGGTTCAGGGTGGAGATGTACAGCTGAGTATCATCAGCATACTGATGGAACCTCACCCTGAAACCATGGATGATCTCGCCCAGCGGCTTCACATAAATGTTGAACAAAAAGGGCGAGAGGACTGACCCTTGTGGCACCCCACATACAAGGCACCTTGAGGTCGACCTCTGCCCCCCTGCCAACACAAACTGCATACGGTCGGAGAGGAAGGAGGAGAACCACCGCAACACGGTGCCCCCCACTCCTAACCCCTCCAATCGTCACAGCATGATACCATGGTCAATGGTATCAAAAGCCACTGAGAGATCTAATAGGACCAGGACAGAGGAGCAACCCCTGTCCCGAGCCCTCCAGAGATCATCAACCAATGCGACCAATGCCGTTTCCATACTGTGCCCAGGCCTGAAGCCCGACTGGAACGGATCTAGATAATCAGCTTCATCCAGGTACTGGGGAAGTTGTCGCGCCACCACACTCTCAACAACCTTCGCCACAAAGCGAAGGTTAGAGACAGGGCGATAATTAGCTAATACAGCCGGGTCCAGGGAAGGCTTCTTGAGGAGAGGCTTTCAGAGCTTGTTTCAAGAGGCTTGTTGTTCAGTTTACAGATTTTAGCTAAAAAAATAGTGTATATGGCAAGTGCAAAAGTTTAGACACCCTTTCATTCTAGTCAGAAGTAAAAGCGTCCAAATATTTCTTGTAACCAGCTAAAAATATTTCTATACTTGCTTTTGGAACTTTTCCCACTCTTCTTGGCACACATTTTTTTTTGCTTAAAAATATTCCTAGATCTTCTTCCATGCACTGCATGTTTGAAGTATCTCCGTAGATTATCAATAGTATTCAAGTCTGGAGACCAAGAAGGTCATTCCAAAATGTTTATTTCTTATAAGTACTTTATGATTGATTGGACATACATTTCAGAACATATTCCTATTGAAATATCCACTCTCTTTTCAGCTTCAAGCCCTTTCTTGCTTGCCATAATTATGCTTTGTAAAATGCATGTATTTTTTTCCCAATGGGAGTCTAAATGTGAAATTGTCAAAGTAGAAGCAATTTACAATTTGTTCAGCTTCAGAACTATTATTGCAAAGTCATATATTCATAAACAATTACATACTAGAAAGCTTACATGTCTGGGTACCTAATAGATCTTTTTTTTTTTAACTTTTATTAAAAGTTCTTTCAGAAAAGTGGTGTACCTGATGTACTCAATGAGCGAGAACTCTTCAATGCTGTTTCAGAATTAAACATTGCAGCTGAAAATGAGGTGGATTTTTTAGCTCAGGTAAGAGTATTTTGCTTGCTGGTTTTTAATGGTGACTTTTTATAAACAAGATTTTACTCTAGTGTTGCTAGGAAGCTCTATGCTTGCTTAAGATAAAGAATTTAACATGATTTGGAATAATTTAGGAGAAGTGGTAACAGTTTGGAAAGTAATTTCAGACTCAAAGTATTGTGCTGTTATCTGTCTCAACAATATCAAGCTCTTCTGAAGAAAATAAGATGACAGATCCAATGCCAATATTCTTATGGCTGTTTTTTTTTTTAAGGAACGGTTCCTTATAACAAAAAAACACGTTTTTTTTTTTGCAATTTAATATAGTACTTGGAGTCTGAGACATTTGAGGTGATAGGGATGAAAAATACCATTATAATCCTTTAGAAAATCAACAGATCTCAGTAGCTTTTTAATTTAGTAACTTGAATCCAAACATATGCTTTATATGTTCAGTTTAGTACTGACTTCTTATTTAGAACAGAAAATCTTTCCACCATATCAAAAACTGCTTTACAGACATTTCTGCTTCAATAATAATTGCCATGTAGTGGAGCAGATAGAAGGTTGCTTTTTGAGAAAGCAAAAAGTTCCTCCGCTACAAATAAATAATGTGCTGTTTTTTAAATGCCAGCAAAATATACCTAATCCTTCAGGTGACAGCATCAGCTGAATTATCAGAGTACTGAAGCAACAGTTTCCTAAAGTTTGTAAAATTAAAAAATTACAAACCTGTTTTCACATCCAATAGATATTATCTGGTTTTGCCAAGAAGAAAGATGGTAACCTATGAGCCTAATAATTATTGTCACTGAAGTTAATTCAGCAGAATTCAGTTTATGTTTGTGTATTGTATGAACTGTGGTAATAATGTGATAATCTTCTTTTGTAATTTGATAACAAACACTGAAAATGCAAATTCAACAAAACAGTTTCAAATCATGTGGGAGTGCTACATAGTTTTTGATCTTTACATGTCTTCTTTACAGATTGAAACTTTGGAGAAGATTAATGAAAATCATGTAGAAAGTCATGGGAAAAAAACTTTTTTATTTACACATGGTGATGGGGACCCACCAACACTTTATAACGAATAGCACTTTGCATTGATCTGAAATATTTTTTATTGGTATCTAAATTTTAGAGCAGTGATTAAAAGTCAACTGCCAAAGGCAATGGGGTACAGTATGTTCAGATGCTGTAAATGAAACATTCAGGGAATATACACTGGTGCTTTGATGTATTTTAGAAAAGTCCACAATTAGTCCATTGGAACTTCATTGCATACCTTTGTAACGATGAAAATAATTTCATTTTCTGTTAAATCAGATTTTCAGTAGCAAAGTATGTGTGATATAAGTAAGATTTCAAAACAATGTAATACTTTCAGATTTAAACACCAAAGTATTACACATATGAAGGTAAGAAAGATAGATGGCCTTTTCCTTGCCTCCGTTGTTTCTTGTTCTTAAATAGTGGTATATTTTGAGATACTGAAAATAGGTTTCAGGTTCTACCTGATATTACATTATTATCAAAAGTTTATTATTTTTACAAGAACTTAGCATGGAAAAATTCTTAATATTTAACAAATGAAACCTATATTAAACACTAAAATCAGTTCAAAACTTTTCTATAATTTTTATACACAGTATAAAAAAAATTGGTTGCAATTTGACTTTAAATTTTAGCTAGAATATAGTTCTTCAGAAAGGTGTTATTAGATAATCAGTAACAAATATTTAATCTTTTATTACTTAAAATAGTGCTTCAGTGCAAGATAGTTCAATACCTTTAAACAAATCTGAATTATGTGAAATGAGTAGAAAATACACAGCTGAGTTGTCTCTTATATAAACTTGAGCTAATTGTAGATTTTCAGTGTTTTCAAAGGATTCAGAGAACATCCTCATTTTAAAAAGTTCATTTAATATAGTTTCATGTGTAATATGGTATGACATAGTTTGTACAACCACTTAAAAATAAACCAGCAGAACAAAGTCTGTTTTATCGTATTTGTCGGAATGCTGCCTACTTTGTATTTATATGCACAGAGACTGAGAGAATGAAATTTGGATTCATTTTCATAAAAATTATCCTTATGGGCTATATGTATAAGTGACAGAATTCCCAAGACCTGCATTTGTATTTTTTAGAGAAATAATTTCTTTCTTGCAGTGTAATTACACTTAACCAGATGAGAATTATTTTAGAAGGCCAGTATAAAGTGAGACAATTCACTGATACAGGTTTCTATTTTAAATGTGTCCTCCTTTATGTTACAAGATATAGTTGATGTATAACATTCATATAATGTTATGGGAGTAAAAATAAAAGACATCAGATCGTGTTCCTTTTCTTTTGTGCCAGTAAACATTTCAGTTTTGTTTCAAAATCAATATTTTGCAGTGTCCCAAAGGTGCTTTTTCAAGAGGCAACTGGACTTTCTGATTTTTCTTTGAAGATGTTTTGTTTCTCGTCCAAGAAGCTTCTTCAGCTCTGACTGGATGGTGGGGAATGGAAGGATTTATACTCCTTG